CCTCTTCCCCTCCCTCCCACTCCGTCAGCCTTTCTGACACTCATTCATATTTTCTCCCTCTTGCTCCCCCTCTTTCTCTTTATCCTTTCTCTTTATCCTTCCCGCTTCACCGCCTTCAGGCAAGAACATCTGCTTGCAAACTTGACTGTGATACAGTAGGAAATGTCATTTATATTGTTACCCACACTACAGAACTGTGCCTATATTTGTGTGTCGTATATAAACATCTTTATAGTTGAAACAAAGTTTCGTGCCTCAAGATCTACCCTCACTATATCTGCACTCTGGTATTTTGCACTCTATTCCATTTATCTTTAGATGCCAGTTGCAACTTGCTAAGCTGATTTCTCTGCAATTTGAAAAACACAAATTGATAATGCTGGCTTTGGCATCAAAAAAGACCTGCATTTAAATCAAGCCTCTACCATCAGCTCCAAAACATTAGGCATTAAACTTTCCGCACTTCAGTTTTCTCATCTGTAAAATGGGGATAACAGTACCCATCTCATAGAATTGCTGTGAACATTAAAGAGTATAATTGACGCAAAGCGCTCTGCACAGGGTAGGTACCCAATACATGCTACTGACTAACATTTCACCTAACAGCCTGTACTTGCGCCTGTGATGCTCAAAAGCAGGAAGACACATAAACATTAGATAATCATAAGTATATATCGAGTTTAAAATTTTGAAATATATTTTAAATAGAATCACTTCTCAAAATTCATACATTACCCAACTCCGATGGGCAGTAAGGACCCCTCCTCTCTCTGGCCTCCCTCCTGCTGCCTCCAGGGGGACCCTTGCGGTTCACCGCTCTGCTCTCCCACTGCCTTTCGGGCCCACTGGCTCCACCTGGGCTCCCTCCCGGCGCCTCAGAGGGAACCTCTACAAAAGGGATTAGCCAACTTGCTCCGTAAAGGGCTGGAGAGTAAAAATGTTAGGTTTGCAGGTTATACAAATCACTGTAATAACTACACAACTCTTTGTGGTCCGAAAGCAGACACAGACAATACACAAACACGCGTGGCTGTGCTCCAGTGAAACCTTCACAAAGCCGCAGTGGCCGGATCACGCAGCTCTGCCACACACGCAAACCTTCTCCTGCTAACAGCGAGCCCTCCCCACAGCAGGTCCCTCCCTCACCAAGGACCCCTCCCAGGAAGGAGAGAGGGGAGGGAAAGACAGGCCCGGGAGGAAGTGCCATTCCGCCACCAAGGCCCAAGTCAGGAAACAAACTGCCATGAATCCCTCTCCAGTTTTTCTTACGCCGTCAACTTGGCGCAGCTCAGAAAAGGGATCATTTCCAAAGGGAAATGTCAAAAGGGGTGGAAGTCTGCTCCAACTGCGCTCATCAGGCAGTGCGCTTTCTGTACGAGGCCCAATGCGGGGCCTTCTTCAGCCTGGGCGCATTTCCCCCGTGACGAGGGAAATCGGCCCGTGATGAAGGGCTTTCATTTGCACGCACCCTGAAGTCAGCCTGCACCCGGCGCCCGGGAGCCGCGTTCCAGATCTCCACGCTGGGCGTGCCGATGCGGTAACCCAGTGACGGCTGGAGAAAAGGGGACGCAATCGCCCTGTCCTGGAAGAGGGGGCTCTTTGTCACATCCTTCAATTAAGGCCCAAATAAACCCCTTCCTGTAAGACTTAAGTGAGCACAGGGATCACCGACAGGGCATGAAAACCCAGAGTTGCTGGCTCAGTAGGTCTCGGTGAGGCCTGAGAAACTGCATTTCTATCAGTTTCCCAGGAGAGGCGTGTGCAGCTGCTCCGGGGGCCCCACTTTGAAAACCACTGTTCTAGGGCGTGACTGGTTCAAATGAAAGTGCCGTCATTTACTATATAGAAGCACTACAATAACGTACGTAAGACTCTACGACATCTCTACATCTCACCACCTTTGTATGTTAGACAAAAATAGAAACAAGCTTTACTTGAGAAGAGATCTAATGAGGCCATCAGTTGTCTCAGCCACTCACAGTCTCTACGGAGTTACAGAGCACTGCTCCCATTTTACTGACGGCGAAGAAAAAAAGCTATGAGCAGGTAGCAGGAGGGAATGTTCGTTTTCTTAATAGTTCTCATACCAACTCTCAGTGTTTAGAAAAATACCCGACAAGAGTTCAGGGGGAGAAAGCATGATCCCTTCTGCCAGAGACAAGAGGAGGGCTTTGGCCTTACTCCAGAAAAAAGGTGGGGAAGGACAGTGGAGTGGGGGGGTCGAACGCTCTGTGAGATGCTGAACTCATCAAACACTTGGCTTTGGTCAAAAAGCTGGGTTTGCCGCCTGAACCAGTACGTGCCAGATGGAAGCCACCGGCCTTCGTGCATGAGACGGAGAGGGAAGCCTGAGCAGCAATTTCGAAGAAAGCTCTGAACAAGCGGCAGTTTGAGCAAAGCTTTCGAATCTCCCAGGGACAGAGGCCCAAGCTGCCGGCCAGGTGGCATCATTACTGAGAGGTAAAAGCAGTGTTCAGACGTAAAGGGCCAACAGCAGGACTAGAGATAACACTCTTGGGTAAGAGGCAACCTGTCCTCCAGGGAGATAGCTGGATTCCACCAAATAGATAAACATCACTCCTAAAAGCCCAGCCCTCCATTCTCCTGGGAGCTAATAAAGGTACTCAGTCTCTCAGCTCTGGGCATTTCTTCCCTGAATTATTAGAAGAAAAGAACCGACTGGAACTTTGCTGTTTCGGAAAAGGCATTCTGTCAATTTCTAAACTTTAACATACGTTGGATTGTATTTTTCCTTTTTGATTTGTAAAAGCTGTCTCTCCCCCACTGTGAACCACCAAACGGTTTGTCTGAGCTACGCGGTGAGTCATCAGCTGGGCCTGGAATACAGTGCTTGTGGTGTCCTAGTTCCCCTCGGCGTCATTAAGATTGCTCACTGGAGCTCAGAGCCTGGAGGCCGAGCTCGGAGAACCGTGATCATTATTTCCCATGATGAGTCACCGCCTTTATGGAGACCACGGCCCCTACTCCATATTCCAAATGGCTGCTACATCTCTTCTATTCCATTACAAGGAGCCCTCTTCGGGGCCCATGGGAAATGACTGGAATTTTCAATCACCATAACATCAGTAGGACTGGAGGCTCGCAGCTGCGTATTTGCTCAGGAGCATTTTGAACCAATATTCAGTCCAGGGGAGAACAGGAGCAGCCCCCAGTGAAATCAGCACACTCACACTCTAAGGGAC